AAATATATGAATAAATACGTTTAAAATCATCGTGGTAGGAACAAGAAAGTAAGCAGTTAGTTTGAACAAATGTGACAAATGCACAAGTGATGGATTAGTTTACTGGCATTTAGGTTTTGTGTCTATTTGTGTTGTAGAAAAGCATTATTATAGAAGTTGCAATAGAAAAAATAAAATTATTACCAAAAGTCAGAACCTCTAGGCTTTATGCCTTGTTTTCATTCGCCCAGTGTTTACCATGTGCTTTTGATAATGTAAACAAAACAAAACGAAAACTTAGGACTGAAGCTGTCATGTTATGCATGAAGCAAACTGCTGCCAATCATAAAATTCTCAAGTGTGTGAAATGGAAGGGTTGGGAAAGTCCCAACTGATTTACAGAAATAAAGAAAAATTTGTATTCCAAGAGTTATAATTCTGAAATTCAGAGATTTTCTTAAAGGGAGATATTTATGTTAATTGCTAATTAGTCCTTTGAAGGCAGCCAGAACAGTAGCTGTCATTCCCTCTGGTGTCAGGATATGCAGCTATTTATTATTTTACCCTTTTCAAAAGTTATCAAATGTCTCCTGTGAATCATTTCCCCCTGGATTGTATGTGCTTGAGCTGTAAAAGACTTGTAATTACTTCTCTAATTTTCAGAGTCAAACTGATGAAATCCCTGTATTGACAATCAAAGATAATTCTAAATATGGTACCTTTGTTAATGAGGCAAAAATGCAAAATCACCTTCCCCAAACTTTGAAGACAGGGGATAGAGTCACCTTTGGAGTGTTTGAAAGTAAATTCAGGTATGGATTTGTTTATTTAATTTTTGTTGTTAATGATTTACTTTTACATGAAAGGCAGATGAACAGAGAGAAGGAGAGACTGAGAGATCCTGCCTTCACTCCCAAGTTGCCACAACAGCCAGAGGTGGGCCAATCTGAAGCCAGGAACCAGGAGCCTCTTCTGAGTCTCCCACATGGCTGAGGAGTCCCACAACTTTGGGCTGTCCTTGACTGCCTTCTCAGGCCACAAGCAGGGAGCTGGATCCACGTTTGGGAAGCTGGGGTATGAACTGTTGCCCATATGGAATCCTGGTGGAAGCTTAGTGTACCAAACCAATGGCACTGGCCCCACACTTTTTAAATTAGATTAAAGTGGACAATTTTATCTCACAACAATTGAATTTTAAAGCAAAGATAAGGATTATAAGGTGACAGTATAATTGACTTCCCATTTAGCACAGTAGTGAACTCTGTGTGGTTGGTATATTTTGTGGATCACAGATGGGGGGTGACAGGTGAGTAAAAGTTTGTGTTAGTCCCTGTGAGTTGTGATAGGAGCCTCGTTTGTTTGATGCTTCATAAGTTAAAATGTAATGTTGATGTTGGCCATGTCTTTTTCTTCTTTGGGAACACAAGATTTAGGAGGTAAGAATTTCCTAAGTTACAAATTTATAATGTGTCAAAATTAAACGAATAATATGTTGTAAGTTTAAAGTTGTAAAGTATTGTAAAGTTGTAAAGTCTTTGTAACTGTGATAACGTAACTTTATTGTCATTCACAGGGTAGAGTATGAGCCTTTGGTTGCCTGTTCTTCTTGTTTAGATGTGTCTGGGAAAACTGCTCTAAATCAAGCTGTGTTGCAACTTGGAGGACTCACTGTGAACAGCTGGACAAAAGAATGTACTCACCTTGTCATGATGTCAGTGAAAGTCACCATGAAAGTAAGTTGAACTGTGTTCCCATATTAAAACAAGTTCTGGGACCTTGAGTGAACTCACCACAGCACAGAGTTAGCACCATGTGTCTCTTCTGTCAGATTGTCTTCCTCCAGTCTCTGACATTGTCTCATGGTCTCATGCTCCCTCAGTTAAGTTATAATCACACAAAGAATTCTTTGCTGTATCTTTAAAGCCCTGAGATGTATAGATATGTACCTTCCAAAGATGCTGACTAGTCATTAAAGCAGTGATGTATTTTGGTATATTTTCAGGTTTTGCATTTTCATCAGATTTGATATATCCAAAGGTAATTGAAGAATGGCATTTAAGATGTGATTCGTTAAACAGGCTGACTGTGCAAAAGATATGTGGGATTGTTTTAGGCTGAAAAGCAACAAATACTTTGATTCCTGTGTTTGAAGATGCAAAAACCTTTTGTTATAATTAATTAAATATTAGTGTTATATTCTAATTTATACATAAATGGCTCTTATGTGTGTACATATATGTGTATGCAATAGCTGTCAAAGAGAAAGGCTCACTGCCCAGATTGAACCTGAAGTTAAATTTGTATCATGGTGAAGTTACCCTGAACAAAGATAGTTCCCTCTTGGAAAATTTAGGACATTGATTTTTTTGCTGCTGCAGCAAGACTAACTTAAAAAATACTCATGTTGATAAACTCACAGGTAATAGATTCATAAAACATTTGTAAAACCAAAATTCATATGCATGAGGACCTGATATTTAAATGTTAGCTCAGCATAATCCCCCTTAAGATATTAAGTTACTCAAATGGAGTAGGTAATGATACATGGGTTTAGAAGGCCTGAAATAAGGTCAAAGATGCTTTGATTGTCTTAGGAGATTTTGCCAAGTCCTCAGAGCAGGACACTTCTAGTACCTGACATGCTAATGACCACCATTAGAGACACCACCATGGAGTGTGCAGCGTTTCTTCTTTGGTGTTTCTGATCACTTTTTGTAAAAAAAAAAACATCAAAATAAACCCTGATCATTAGTTTTTGCTCAGCGTTCTCAATGCATAGTTAGGCTTATAGGGTTTTGTTTTGTTTTGTTTTGCTTTTTGCTTTTGTTTTGTTCAGATTATTGAATGTCAGGACCAGAGGGAAACCTGAGGAGTATTTAGTTCAGCTTTTATATTTTGAAGAGAAATTGCGACTCGGAGCAGTTACGTGCTTAGCCCAGAATCGCGCGTGTTGCAGTTTTATTCGTTGGATATTTCAACCCAGCCATGGCTCTTCCATACCCCTACCAAGCTCACACATGGTTCAGTAAGGGCTGAGACCTAACCTAGTCTGTCACACAACCCTCCCCGGTCCTCCAGAGCACCAGATGGTGTTGGAATTTGGCCTGGCTTGGTGCTTCCCATCCCAGTCCACAATTGTGCCAAGTGAGATTACGATCGTATCCTGATCAGAATGTAGCCTCAGTTCCAGCCCATGCGCTCCTTGGTGGGAAACTCAACCCAGCTAGGGTGTCCTGTTATTTCCCCAACCGGGCCTCTGCCCTGCCATAGAGCAGGTGTAGGCCGGTGGTTGTTCTGTCTCTGTTTGGCAGAGCCCCTCACTTGTCGTGGCCCCTTGGATGCTGTGGCTTAGTGCCTCTGCCTCACACAGATCAGTATGTGCAAGGACCTACCTGGCATGAGCTGTGCTCCAACCTGATTTCTGTTGTTACTTGTGAGTTAAGGTTTGTTCAGCCTTGCCCCTTCTGTCCCCTTCCAGTGGCAGCCCGGCCCACCCCACATCCTGTTTAAAGATGCACATTTGGGTGCTGCTGCCTTGACCTACCCTGACTGTTGTGGATTCCTTTACCCATGAGTGATGGCAGATGTCGTGGTCACACCTAGCTTAGACCATTGCAACCCCAGCTTGGGAACTAACCCGGGGGATTTGTATTCCAAAGGGTTGGACCCACACAACCCCACAGAGCCTACCCCCAGCCCAAGTTCTCTTGTGTGCTGGAGAGTGTCTTGATTTGCCAAATGTGACCACTCCACAACTCCAACACTCAGTCGGGCAATGGTACCCAACACTGCCAAAGAGGCCCCCATCCATAGCTTCGGTGTGGGCTAGTATATGGTGATCAGTGATGTTCAATACTAATATCCCATCTCTGTATTCATAATTGAGCTGTTGCATCTGTCTTACTAAAATTATCTTCTGGACACTTCCCCCAAACCACTAGGTCTTGGTCCCCTTGCCTGCTTGTATCTTTCATGACACTGTCACTGAGAATACCCGAAAATTCACTTTGCACCTACACTCAACCTAGTCTTAGTCATGAGTGACCCAGGCAGCAATTACATATCTTGAAAACCCCAGAGTTTGCCCTTCCGGGCGGCCAGCAGGCAAAGCCTGGCACCACTTGGTGCACTGGCCGCCCTGGGGGAGGCCGAGGACTCGTTCACTGCCTTGTGGCAGTGTCTTTGGCGTGAGTCCCCCGCATTGGGTCCGACCCGGCAGGGGCACCCCCCACAGTCGCCACACTGCAGGGAGCGTCAGTTGCCCCCAAGCCCAAGGACCGAACTCCTCCCAAACTCCCCCAGCCGCATGGTCTTAGCAGCTGGGCGGAGCTAGGAATTTCCACCCAGTTCCCAAGTTCCCTCATGGCGGACTTACCCTGAGGGAAGAGCTCTCTTGGGTCCTGGGGGAGGCCGAGGACTCGTTCACTGCCTTGTGGCAGTGTCTTTGGCGTGAGTCCCCCGCATTGGGTCCGACCCGGCAGGGGCACCCCCCACAGTCGCCACACTGCAGGGAGCGTCAGTTGCCCCCAAGCCCAAGGACCGAACTCCAGTCTTGTGTTGATTGAACTTAAATACTCTATGTTGCATTTGGATGATCTCATTCACATAGGAAGTTGGGATCTGTCAGATTCCAGTCTTTAGAGATACCCTCAATCTGGTCGCTCCTAACGCCTGCATTATTGAAAACATATGTATAAACTGTATAGTTGGATTATTTCCTAGAATATGCCAGCTCTTTCTTATTTTAATTGCCCACAGTAGTATTTTCTAGTCCTTTATGAGTTTGTGGATGTGTGTTACTTGAGGCTGATAGCTTGATTCACGTTAGTTCACAGTTTCGTTCTCTCTTTATGTGTGCATCAGCTTCCACTGAGCCTAACCAGTTGCTCCTTGATTTACTGTGTTGAAGAGGCTTTATTCTATACTCTTACTCCTTCTGAAAGCAGTAAGGCTCCAAAGAAATTTCCATTTATCTCTTAATGTGTATTGCCTCTGCAGGATGGGTTAGATTTCTTCAGCCTGAACGTGTACTTGTAATGTTTTTCAAATTGGAATGCATTTTTAAAGTCTTTGTGTTATTCTGCCTATCCCAAAGGACTACTGTGTCATTGGCTTCTGATAATTGAGTAGTTCTGGTTTGTGGTATAAAACTGAGCAAATATGAAATTCTATTTTACAGATTGTGACTTCGTTTATCAAATTAAGAAAAGGAAAGAAAACAATTATTAGAAAGGCATGTTTGTAGTTTATAACATGAATGTTTTCTTTAGAAGAAGCTATCGTAATGACTATATATATATATCCACATATATTTTCTTTCTTTTAGACGATTTGTGCACTCATTTGTGGATGCCCCATTGTAAAGCCAGAGTATTTTACTGAATTTCTCCAAGCAGTTCAGTCCAAGAAACAGCCTCCACAAATAGAAAGGTATATTATGTGTTTCTAATTAACAACATATGACAGAAAAGATGAGCGCATTGACTTTCGGTTAACTCTCTGGAATTCTAGATGTGATAGTTGCTGTGTTCCACGTTTCTCTTGTGTGTGTGTATGTGTTCCATGTTAATGAGATTTTTTCAGTTAGTATGTAAAGAAAGAGTACCCCAAATTCTTAATTGGTTATTTCTTAGCTCTGTGAAACAGATGTTAACTGCTAATATATAACAAAAAACTGTTGAAGCATGGTAAATAGGTCAGCATTGCTCATGTGCCAGTGTCGGGGTCATGGGTGAGGTACCCTTGGTAGTGGGGCTGCAGCAACCCTCTTGGAGAACCACATATTTGCACGTAAATGTTGACGTCACTGGGCACTGCTTTTGTTACCTCATTTCAAAGTGAGGTCAGCACTGACACAGTTTGGTAGCTCTAGATTAGTAATTCCATCTATAAAATCTGAGCACATGGCTTGCTCTCACCCTAATTGCTTGTTAAAAGAAATGTTGATTGTTGGTAATTGCAACAAAAGGTGGATGATATGTGCCAGATTTGTGAGCCACTAGACTTGGAGATCTGGCCTAGACTTGGAGTTTCTGGCCTTTTTTGTCTTTGAGGTGGCATCTGAGGACCTCAGCTGGTTTGTAGGAGCAGGCCGACTCATTCAAGTGCACCTGGACATGCTCCTCTCCTCTGCACTGGATTCAGGGCAGGCAGCACAGCATGCACTGTGTGTTTCAGCACTAGGACACACAGCCCACTCTGTGCTCCCTGAGATTGGGGATCCTGCCTTGTCTGGGACTAACCAGTCCTGAAAGCCTGGGGTTCTTGGTGACACCAAAGGCTGTTGGTTGGATCACCCCACATTTCCTGCCATGGGTGCGACTGCCTGTAACCTGTTAGACCCCTAACCTGCTGCCCAAAAGCCATCAGTGCGGCCAGATTGTACGATTACAAGCTTACATTGATTCTATAGAATGACTGGCTATTTCAAATGGCCTTAAGTTTAGGAGTGTTAAGCAAGTTAAGAATTTCCAAAGTATTTTTATCAGCATGTTGTAGTGTTACTAATATTTTTATTTTATAAGGATTTATTTATTCTTATTGGAAAGACAGATCAGGTTTATGACGAGAAAGAGAGACAGAGACAAAGATCTTCCATCCGCTGGTTCACTTCCCAAATGGCTGCAACAGCCAAAACTGAGCTGATCTGAAACCAGGAGCCAGGAGCTTCTTCTGGGTCTCCCAGATGGGCACAGGATCCCAAGGTTTTGGGCCTTCCTCTGCTGATTTCCCAGGCCATAAGCATGGAGCTGGATGGGAAGTGGAACGGCTGGAACACAAATCAGCACCCATGTGGGATGCCAGTGCTTACAAGACAAAGATTTAATCTCTGAGCCATTGCGCCGGGCCCACTCATTTTATTGTTAGAGCAGTAACAAAGTGGTTCATGTTCATAAGCATGTCTTATTGCATACATATGTATGAGCTATGTTTTTATAGGACTGACAGATATAGATTTGTTAATATCAGCATCACCATAAACACATGGTTATGTGTTATGCTACATCACGATGGGTATGAAGTACTGGGTAGTAGTGGTAGTTTGTGATTTTTGTCCTTCTACTTCCAAAAATTTATTTATTTTATTGGAAAGGCAGATTTATAGAGAGTAGGACAGAGAGAAAGATTTTTCATTCCACTGGTTCAATGTCCAAGTGGCCACAATGGCCAGAGTTGAGTCGATCTGAAGCCAGGAGCCAGAAGCTTCTTCCAAGTCTCAATGTGGGTGCAGATCCCAAGATGTTGGGCCATCCTCCAAGGCTTGTGCAGGCCACAGGCAGGGAGCTGGATGGGATGTGGAGCAGCCAGGACACAAACTGGCAGTCAAATGGGATCCCAGGGCATGCACCGCAATGATTTAGCCATATGGGATCCCAGTGCTTTCAAGGCAAGGATTTAACCACTGAGCCATTGTGCCGGGCCTGCACATCCTCTTTTGATGTCACCTTCAGCCTCATACACATCCTTTGAAGTCCTGAGTGTGGACATGGTCACCAGGGGAAATGCAGAAGTAGGCAGGTGACAGAACCTTGGAGAGCCACTGTCAGCAGGCTTCTGTGGACGTTGTCTGAGATGCTGAGTCTCCTTTGTAGTTTGCTCTTTGCTTTTCTGCTGGCCCCATCCACGTGGCCTTTCATTTTCTGCCCTGGTGGCCCAATGTGGTGCTGACCTCCTCCAGAGTGGCCAGAAGAGGATCAGGGTAAAGCATACACACAGAGGCGGCACAACAGCCTAGAATCACTGCCCATGTTACCTTGTGGATATTTGATGATCTGGCCAAAGACTATCCAGTGCTGGTGACCTTGAAGGGAAAAGAGAGAGAGAAAGGAGGGAGGGAGAAAAGTAAAGAAGGAAGGCAGGCAGGCAGTAGTAGGTTTTTTTTTTTAAATATTTATTTTTATCTGGGGCCAGGTGTGGTTGTCTAACAGCTAAAGTACTCACCTTGAACACGCCGGGATCCCATATAGGTGCCAATTCTAATCCTGGCAGCCCTGCTTCTCATCCAGCTCCTTGCTTATGGCCTGGGAAAGTAGTGGAGGATGGCCCAAAGTCTTAGAATCCTGCACCCACTTGGGAGACCTGGAGGAAGTTCCTGGCTCCAAGCTTTGGATCGGCTTAGCTTCGGCTGGTGCAGTCTCTGGGGTGTGAATTATCAGATGGAAGATCTTCCTCTCTGTTTCTCCTCCTCTCTGTATATCTGACTTTGCAATAAAGATAAAATAAATCTTTACATCATGCATATGGCATAGGTGGGGGGCAGACCAGGCTGAACCCATTCACATCAACCGCTGGCGAATCTGAGCACCAGCATAGAGTGTGGGTCAGGCCAGTTTCAGTCACAACACATACTAGTGCACATTGAGGAATGCCAACGTGAGGTGAGCTGTACCAGATATGGTTGCAGTGCCCAAACAGCACACGTGAGAACCGGAGGGTCGAGGGGAGAGAGCAGGTAAAGCTGACAGGGGAATGTGGGCTCCCCTGCTGGACAACCACTCCTACTGGAGAGCATGAGTTGGGATGGGGGCAGACCAGACTAGGCAGGGCTACAACACCTGTGGGCCTCATGTGAGCTAGACTTGGGGAAGGGCCAGGTTTGGCTAACTGTTCCGACTGGTGCAAACAAAAATTAGAGTGGGTGAGGGTTAGTTGGGCTTTGCCACATCATCAGATGGCAGAGGCTGGCACTGGAGGCCAATTCTGTTAAGTTAAGTGCCAGAACCACCTGGAGAGTGCACAATCCGGAAGTTGGCTTGGCCTAGTAGGGAAATAGTGGGCACCTCCCTTGTGGGTAACCACTCCCACTGGAGAGCATGAAAACCAGGGCAGGGACAGGGGTGGCTAGACAGAAAGGCATCTGCAAGTGTGTGTGGGGGCTGGAATAGTAGGTGCTTGGATTGAACTAGCCTTCAATGCCTATGGGATATGGATCCGGGCTGTGCAAGGCGAGGGACCCTAAACACTTGGCCACTGCAACGGGCCAAGTACCCTGTATCTTACAACAGCTTGTGGTGGGATGCCAAAATGCAGTGCTTGAAGGCTTTTACACGTGCTGTTCTCAAAACAGCAGGCTTTTTGGCTGGCTTGTTACGAAACGGGCGGGCCCAAGGTCAGTGTTCTCTCCCTGGTAGCACAGTCCACACAAGATACTGACTATCCTGCCACGGTCCTTGATCAGGGACGTGACCTACAAACAGTGATGCTAATGCTGCCTGCTTTGTCTCTGAGCCAGCAGTCTGTCTATTGCCTGCAAGTGTGAAACTGGAACAAGTTTGACCTCACTAGCCTGCCATCAGTTTTTAGGCCTAATAAACACACCAATCTGAAACAGTCAGTACATGAACATTTAGGAAGTTTGTACTAGTAGAGAACAGCATATATATATAATCAGTTAAAATCCAAGGCAAAGCATTGTGCCGCACACCTGCAAGTTGTAGCTGCCCCTTGGGCTAAGCTTTTAGAGATCATGTAAAGAAGCAGTGTAGTAAGTGGTTCGAGAAAGCAGGAACATGCTCCCAGCACACTGATGAAACAGGGAGCTGTGCAGGTCCTGGGGGAGTAGTTGTTGCTGGGGATACTGATTTCACTGTATTCAGTGTGTTTGGAGAAATGCTGTATTTGGAAAACTTACAAGACAGAAGTAAAATGAATTATTGTGGATTAGATGAAATGTATTGAAGATGAGATAAACATTTATGTACAAGTATATAATGTAAATGGTAAAAAGTATTTCTTGATTATCTTTACATAAATATGTGGATAATGTGTGCCAGTTACTATGAAAACATTATTTTACTTATGGCTCTTAACATTTTATACAATCAGGCCAAGTTTATTTTAAAATATTTTTATGTCACTTTGTATTTGGCAGCCTTCTATTGAAGCAGCCTGCCTCTAATCTATATTTCTGTCAGATTATATTTGTGTTTTCTAGTTTTCTTACTAGCTGTCACTGGAGCACCAGAAATGCTTTGAAACTTCTTGAAAATATTACTTCAGAAATAGTGACTTTAATTAGTTGTATAGTTCTCACTAATCTCTGTTCTCATCAGTACACTGAGAAATTTAAGGCTCATCTAGGAATATGAAGTTCAGAACATGGCTCGCTTTTTCTCACTGTGTTATTAATCATCTGTGTTTGTCCTGGAGTTGGAGCACAGGGGTGAAGCTGAGATCGCAGTCTGTGTGCCAGGTCAAGTATGGCTTTCTCTCCAGCTACCCACTAATGCATCTGTGTTCTTTGCTCAGGGTAGTTCTTCCCTATATCTGTGTTTTTGTCAAGGTAGATTGTACCTAGTGGTGAGTTTCAAATTGCACAGTGTTCTAAAGTAAACCAAGGTACATTGTGGAATTTTTAAAATATTTATTATGTATTTTTATTACAAAGTCAGATATACAGAGAGGAGGAAAAACAGAGAGGAAGATCTTTCCTGTGGCCCCGGTCTCCCAAGGGTTAACTCCACAGCTCAGCTTGTTTCTCAAATGTGTAACAGGATGGGCAATCTTGGCCTGATACATTTAGCCCCTGGCTTGACTGCAATTTCCCTCCTTCCTGCTTCCCCTTTTTATATGTCCTCAGGGGAGCTTAGGTGTTGCTTGATCATTGGGAAAGTGCTGGGAGGGGCCAAGCAGACTATAAAGATGCAACTTGACTTTGAATAAACTGGCATTCTCTTCACAAGAATGAGGCAAGGTGTGTTGTGTGTGTTGTCTGTCTTGTCTTTCTCATAACCCTAGTCCCTCCTGGCAACGTGGGCCTTGCCAACAAGTATAAACATCTCTCAATTTGTGGACTACAAATTTAGGTATTAAAATTCTGGGATTAAAACAATGTACTGGGCCCGGTAGCCTGGCCTAGCAGTTAAAGTCTTCACCTTGAACACACCAAGATCCCATATGGGCACCGGTTAAGGAAAAGCTGTTAGGAAAAAAAAGTTGTTAGGAAAAGCTGAAGGTAAATTCTATGCTTATTTTTAGAAACCTAGTTCAGTGTAGAGAGGATGTTAAATCCTTTGAACTAAACTACAGTTAACTCTTTTCTTAGATACAGTAAACCGCTAAAAGTGAACTGTGTAATTTTAAAAGTTGTTTAGAAACAGGAGAGTTAACATGGTAGCTCGAATTTTATATTGTCAGTGAAATCTGTGGTGATCTTCTGGATAACCCAGTCCCCCAAGATTTTGGCTTGCAGAAATCATTTCAGGATACACATAGAGCATTTGTTGTGATGGATTGGAAAAATGCTGTTATTCTTCAAGTTGCCATAAATTTTCCACTTTTCTGTCAAGACTCAGCTTTACTTTAGGAGATGTGTCATATTCTGTGTGGCCAAGGAGAAATGGAGGCGGAGCGAGATGGCAGCTATAAGGAGGAAGCAGGGAAATCAGTTCTACCTCCTTTGATCACCATTAAGATTGCAATATTGTCCTATTGGTTGTTACTCTCTGAAGAGAGTTAACCCTTAAATGTTGTGAATTGCCTCTTCCTGTCTTGTTCCCTGTAGTCATCCTTATGTTGGGCTAAATGTTTTCCCCGGAGCTAAAGGGACAAGCTGCATCAACTGTAACAAAATATCTTAGGGAATTCAAAGAATGGCCTAATGAAATTTTGAGAATTATCTGTTCAGTTTTACTTCCTACTTGCTTTCTTCTCATCTCCCCAGATGTTTAAAAAAATATTATAGCATCTTATTAAAGAGCAGAAAAATAGGTTCTTTACTCTAGAGAAAGTTTTAAACTATTGTGAACTTTTCTAAAATGCTCTGAAACAATATTACGGTAGTGTTCACAGAACTAAATGTGAGCCTTAGTAACACAGAGTGGCTCCCCAGTAAACACGAGCTGCTGATGAATTTGATCTTCTCTCTCACCCTTTTGCAATTCACATTAACTGTTTGAGTCATGTGTGTTTCCCATGTGTCTGATTATGATTGTCTACCTTGGTTGTTCTGAGGAACTGAAAGCCAGTCCTGCTGTGCTGTGCAGTACCTCTCACTATAGTTCCTGAAAAGGCACATGGGTGGCTTTTGGTCATTTTGTACCAACTTAAAAAAAAAAATCTTACTTTAAAAAGAACTTGTGATTTTGTGGAAATTATGCTTTTCTGGTAGCAGAAATTTATCAATTTAATAGTAAGCATGCAGAGTAGTATATAACTACAATATGCTTTACAAACTTTTACAGTTTTTACCCACCTATTGATGAACCAGCCATTGGAAATAATAATATTGATCTGTCAAGGCGGCAGGAAAGAAAAGAGATCTTCAAAGGAAAAACATTTGTATTTTTAAATGCCAAGCAGGTAATGTTAGAAATTATACTTTCCTAAAGAAGACCATAAATCAACACGTGCTATTGTTCTCACACTGATAAGGTATTTGATTTGAGAATTTTTGTACAGAATTGTGAAGTGCAGGCACCAGCATCTGCCAGGTGATCATGTATATAATTATACTTCTTAATACCTGGTAACTGACTGGGTTTATATAAATATGTAAACACAGAGGACAGGAAACTTTGTCCTGGCTTATTCAGTCAGTAAGCATCCATAGAGTGTCTTCTCTGTACCAAACAAGGGTCCTAACACTTTGTTACTGCAGAAAGTCATGCTGGTAAGCCGACAGAGTAAGTCTGATGACGATGATGTTACTGTGGACAAGGTAATGGTTCCAGGGCTGCATGGAGAACTTCTGAGTAAGGATTCTGCCCAAAATGAAATCTCAAGTGATCTATTCTAGGAGTAGAACCCATTCTTTTTTAATTCCAATTCCGTGTTATTTTCCAAATTCAATTTTTACATAGTAAAAGTTATCTCAGGACACTTTGGCTAACAAAACATGTTTCTTTCCATTTTTAGTATAAGAAACTAAGTTCAGCAGTTGTCTTTGGAGGTGGAGAAGCTAAGTTGATAACAGAAGAAAATGAAGAAGAGGATAGCTTCTTTTCAGCTCCTGGAACGTGTGTTATTGATATTGCAATAACCAGTACACAAACGGTACTTCCTGACTCTCAGAAAAAATGGATTCACTCAATTATGGAGATGCTTCAGAGGTACAGCACTGTTATTTTAAATTAAAATGCAAATGGGAAGTTTTATGTGACATTTTGATTACACTTCATTTAGTAATGTAAAAGTACTAGCTTACTTGAGAAATCTGGGAGAAAATGACCTTAAAAGACATTCATTTGGGAAAAGCACTTGAAAATTCATAGGTAGTGTTTTCATAACACAGTTTCTATGAACTTTTGAAGACGCTTCCTAGATACAAGAATTCTTGTGATAGTTATGCCATGTGGTTTACTTGAAAATTGAGTGTGACTTGGTTTGCTAGGAACAGTTTTATCAGCATGTTTACTGCCTCTTTTTTTTTTTTTTAACAATTATAGAATTTGTATTTAGCCTGTCTGATTGAATAAAGTCATATTAAGCTTTTTTGCTGAATATGATATAGTTAAGTTTAAAATTCAAGATAATTTCTTTCTGAAGTTGCTTAAAGCTGAAATGTATTCATCCTTTCATAACGACATATTAAAAGTCATATAAAATTTTTTCTTCCTGTATAATGTAATTTTGAGGAGACAAGAAAAAAAATAAAGGTCAGATACTTTAGTATTTGTAGTGCTGATAGAGTCAATAGATACGTTCAGTCAAGGGTTTCTGCCATTCTGCCATCAGCTTTTTATTGGTTAACAATCTTAGCAATATTATTATCTTTATTTTAAGATTTGTTTATATGAAAGGTTGAGTCATAGAAGGGAAAAGGGGGAGACAGAAAGAGATCTTCCCACGTGGCTGCAGTGACTGCAGCTGGACTGATCCAAAAGCAGGAACCTGGAGCTTCTTCCCCGTGGGTACAAACGCCCAAGCACTGGGGCCATCCTCCCCTGCATTCATAGGCACATCAGCAGGGAGCTGGATTGGAAGTGAAGCAGCTCAGACCTAGCCACCGTGCCACTGGGTCCACAGTCTCAGTGTTGTTGAAGCTTAAAAGGATTTGTGAAATTGTGGAGGGTGTTCCTGGAGCACTCGGTGGAGTCCTCTAGGATGACGGAGGATATAGATTCCCCAGCACAGGGCAAAATCGCCAATCACCTACCAGAAAAATGTGGTGGACCAGAGAAAGCTCATCCCAGCTGAGGATCCAATTGTAGCTACAAGTATGCTTCTTTAATTGGTCAATATTGGAACAGACAGCCTGAGGCGTTCCACCCACTGCTCCCTTCCAAGCCTGTGGTGGCAGTGAGCATAAGGGAAAGGCGACTGCACTACAGGTGCACCCCTCAGGTCACTATCTGTGTGGCCACAGTTGTCAGCCACTCTGTGGGGACCTGCCTGTCTCCTGCCTCCTTGCAGGGTGAGTTCAGTTACCCTAGCTCTGCTCACTCTCTCTAGTGAATTGTTCACCCCCTCCATCACACCAACTTCTCACAATGGAAATACCAGGTTAGCTAGTCTGTTGACTAAATTTATACTCACCTAAGAAGATACATAGTTGGGACCTTGAGTGCAGATATGCCCGAGAAATTCATCACCAGCTCTCTTAGAGATTCAGTTGTCCTGTTCCCAGAGTCCTTCTGGCGATGTCGATTACTTTTCTTTTTCCTCATGTGGGTTTGCTAAATAGAAAATAAATTTCAGGGGCTGTCACCATGATGTAGTAGGCTGTGGTGTCAGCATCCCATACGAGTGCCAATTTGAGTCCCTGCTGCTCCAGTTGGAATCCAGCTCCCTGCTACTAAGCCTGGAAGACAGTGGAGGATGGCCCAAGTCCCTGGGCCCCTGCATGTATGAGAGGTACCAGCAAGAAGATCCTGGCTCTTCAGACCAGCCCAGCTCTCTATTGCAGCCATTTGCTGAGTGAACCATCAGATGCAAGATCTCTGTCTCTTTATCACTCTGCCTTTCAAAGAAAAAAGAAGTAAATCTTTTTTTGTAAAAAAAAAAAAAAAAAGATTTAAGAAAAGCAAAATTATCATTGTATTGCTAATACAGAAATGTACTGTTTCATTATATTTTATATACTAGGAATTTAATGGTTAGCAAGATAATCATAATCTCTGCCATTAATGGAGCTTACTGTCTAGAGAGAGAGAGAAGGATAAAGTAGGCCCATAATTATGTGTGTGCATGAAGGAAACTAGGTAACAGGGCTAAGTGGAAAAGTCCATTCTAAATATAGAAGGCCCCTCCTGCTAGTACCGTGGTGTGTGGGTTAACGACACTGCCAGTGGTGCTGGCATCTGAGATGGGTGCCTGTTTGAATCCTGGCGGCTCCACTTCCAGTGCAGTTATCTGCCTGTGAGAGCAGCAGAGGATTGTCCAACAGTACTTAGGCCCCTGCACCATGTGGAAGACTTGGAAGAAGCTCCTGGTTTCTGTCCTTGGAGTGACCCAGCTCTGCATCCCATTATAGCTGTTAGGGGAACAGCAGATGGATGATCTCTCTGTCTCTGCTTCTCTCTAACTTTGCCTTATTGTCGCGAACACCGAGCCCGGTCACCAGAACAAATGCCAAGAGTCGAGAGTGGATGCTTTGCAATCAAGCATTCAAGCATTTATTCAGGCAAGCACACACCAAACAGGATGGGGGAAGCCACCGAGAGTGCCTCTTGACTTCAGTCTCATGGAAGTCTGCTGGGCCTTTGGCTCCGGCCTCGTGGGAGCCTGCAAGTTCGAGTGGAAGCCCAAACCTTGGCTCCGGTCTCGTGGGAGCCTACTGGCTTCTCTGGCTCCGGCCTCGTGGGAGCCTGCAAGTCCGAGTGGAAGCCCAGGGGCTTTTGGCTCCGGTCTAGTGGGAGCCTGCTGGCTTCAGTGACTGGGACAAATGCATGGGTTTATATACAAATTCAGGGGCAAAACAGGCAGTTGTTTACAATATTTTGATTGGTTATTACATATTATCTATCAATAACACTTGCTTTTCTTAATTCTAAAAAACATGCATATTCATTCTCAAAACATACTTATTCATTAATATACAATTATTTCTTCTTTTATCATTCCTACCATGACATGCTTACGTACATTGTGGCTTCTTGACAAAGGTGATAAGGGGAGGGCTTGTGCGCCTAGGAGTCTCTTGACAGGAGCGATAAGAGAGGAGGCCCCATTTCACCAGTAGTTTAGGAGGATGGAGTCACCTTTGTTAAAAGACTCTAACATACACACTATATCCATTATTAAGTCACAGCATAACTTACAAAAGAAATCTATTATTGCAGCTATTTCTGGATCATCAATTTCTGATAAAACTATAACAATATTGAGGATACAATTAAGATTATTAATAATATTCCAACCCATATTTCCCAAAGCTCCATTTTTATTTATGGTCATGTTTTGCTGGAGCAATGTAAATGTAAAGTACTTATAGTCAGACTGTTCCTATCAATCCACCCCCTGATCCGTCGGTGGTTCCAGAGGAATCGCCGATGGATCACAAATAGGAGACAAGGGGAATACCCAATGGGAAAGATGTCATAGGCTGAGTCTCCTACGACGATGACGAATTCGCCGTTCGCCAACAAGTGTTGGGTGTCTCCAAGGGTGAAGAGTTGCGGTGGTGAGGGAGCTGGGCGGCGCTTGGATAAAGGGCCGTACAATTGCTACAGGAGTAGGTCTGTTGGGATCGAAAGTTGAAAAATTACGGCATCCAAAATCCAACGGGTCAGGTCCATAAATAAAAGTGGATCTCAAAAAATGCTATAAATCAAAAGAAAAATCATAAGGTGGGCGGAGAGATGGATATCGCTTATAATATTTCCATAAAGAATACAAATAGCGAAAATAATGGAAGCATAAAGCTCTTAAAGCTAAATCTACTAATGATGGGCAAAAACGGGGGACTCTAAAATATGCTGCACACAATAACATCAACAAATGGTAATTGTGGTAATCAGGATCAACGTGAGGGCAATCTAAAAAACGAACAGCAAACTTTGAAGTATGGAACCATACATGATTGAGAACATCACAAAGATTAAACTTAGAAGTATTAAAGGCATAAGTGAAAGAAACTTTAGGATTGCATAAGATGCAAGGAGTACAAGCATAAAATCTAACCAATCTGCATAATATTGGCCATATTTCGCGAAAATGCTGTTGTCCAGAGATGGTAAAGAAGTGTCTCACATGGTATGCTAGGCAAAGTCGACAGCATGCATGGTGCCTAAGATTGAGAGCGGATCTTCTTCTAGGCATGGTTGTATAGCCACTTCTTATGATATTCTTTGGTAGAAGCACGAGCAGTCCTGCGACAGAAGAAGAAGAAGGCACGAATAAAGATGTAAAATAGTATCAGTATAGTGATGATACGAAATAGTTCTTTCATCCAGTGCCAGGGATTCCATCGCTGTAAGCAGGCAAAATCCTGTAAGATTGCGCGACGTATCAGTTGAAATAGGGTACAATCTTGAGCTATCGATGTAAAGACAGATGATGGGACTATACGAGCGTGTTGTACCATGTAGCGCATTTGTGAGATGTCTTGCTTCATTGTCTTCAGAACTGCAGTAGAATCTTGATGTAGTTTATCTATGACGTGTTGGTTTTGAGTGAAGAGTGTGTCCAGATGTTGAGCGGACTCTTGCCACTTTCTAAAAATTTCATGGCTGGATGTGACAGGCTTAACAAAATAATGCAAACCAAAGGTATGGTTTGTAACCATGGCCACTGAGGTTAGGACTGTCTGGTTGGTTTGATCGTGTTTTGCCATCATGGTGTTGGTATGGACATGGCATCCCGTGGGGAGTTCGACATGTTCCTTGTAGGAAGCGTTGTGCCACAATTGGACCGAATAGGCAGAGTCACCGCACGTGAGGATGCGATACCCACCAAGGTCTGTTATGCGTCTGATGCCATGAGGCCACAGGGCGATTCTAGAGATCGGATAGTCCGGCCTCCAGAGCTCAAACCCTAGAAAAAGGCCTGGCCCAAGCGCATATACTGAAGACATGGGCACATACCAGGAACTATTGTCCACCACCGCCAACAGGTAACGATCATAAGGTACCAGCCAGGAGCCAGAGATGTATTGTGGCACCGGTACAGTGTCAAAAGCCACTACAGCCGATGAAGTGGAAATCTGCCATATATATAAGTCACAAAAGCCGTCAACACAGGAACTTTCTTTAGTAGGGTCTAAAACAGTTATACCTGATCTCGTCTCACGACCAACGCCAGTGTTGAAAAGCATCTTGAGATCATTGAAGGCAGCTTGCAGCATTAACTGCGCATGTAGACACTCTTGACGATGGAGAATCTGGGATACTTCCTGGGCAACAATCTTTTCATCTTCTAGTTGTTTTTTGAAGAGGATGTTCATGCCTTCTTTAAAGCTCTGTTGTTCTGCATGCATTTTGTCCAATGTAACGGCGACAGCATGCAGGTTGTTGGAAATAGCTTGGACTGCTCGGAATTGTTCATTCTGTAGGTGTCGCAGGCTCGTGATCTGTACTTGAAGTTCTTCAGTCATGGCACCTGCAATCAGTGCACCAAGTGCTGTCCCCACAAGGAATGCACCTATTTCTGCTACCTGTAGCAGACGTCGTCCTGAGTTTCCGCCTCGGGCTGCGTGATAAAGGGTTGGTAAGGCGAAATATCGCTTATCACATTGTAAGCTGGACAAGTCTGTAGAAGCGAAAGATGTTAGGGACAGACGTATATGCATAGGTGTGATTGATGGTTTGATTAGAATGCGATGTGGTCTTGAAGCTACAGGGAGGATGCCTGGTGCTGAGATGGTCGTAGCTGGCACTACTGGTGGGTTCACTACTGCTGACGGATAATGTGCTGTGACCCATCGGTGGGTCTCATTAAATCCACCGCGATCGATCAAACATGGGTCAAGCGGGGATTTAGTTCCACATGTATCAAAATTCATTCGATATTCAAAGACAGGGTGTACAAATGAATTGTCTACAACATCCGTATGGTTTTTCAAAATATTATGGCTAATAATATCATACATAGCCCATTCATTATCTGGTCCAGGTAAAAGCATATAGGTATAATATGGGAGACTTCCCACCCACCGTACATGAGTGAAATTATCAAAGTTCATGCCTTGATAAAGCCACCAGTGCACAGTATGGTGGTCCGCCTCCGGAACCAATGGATATCTTACCACTGCATCAGTAATGTCAAAATCATTTGGACAATTGGTTTGTGTAGGCATATATGCGGCCAATTTAGAATTTACTGTCAATACCACTTCATTAAGAGAGGGTGGGTGGTAGTCATATAAAGTGACTGCTGGAGAGAGTTTCCTTGGGTAATTTGCACGAATTGCATAAGTAATATTGGTAACATGGGTAGAGATATCCATAGGTAAATCAAAATAGGATACATTGTACAACAAAGAGCGATGTATGGCAGACACACGTTTCATGGAAAAGGGTCCCCAATCACACCTCTTCCAGAAACGGGGGTGTGAAGAGACTGGCTTGCGTCCGGCTCGTTCAACAGCCATGGTAGAATAATTGGCCCATAGATATTGGACAGATGATTTGGATATATTAGCCACTGGCACCCAATGGGGCAAATGTTCATCACATTCTTGGAAGCAGGTAAAGCCAAAATTGACATTAACCCGCGAAAGTTTAGTCCAAATCAAAAATGGTAATCGTTGTGTGACATTAACAACATTAGATGCATCAGGGCTCAATATATCTGTCAAATTCCATCGATAAGGGATGGTTACATGAGTTTCTGCAAGGTGGGCATCAGATGTGGTATAAGCATTAGACCAAGACACAGGCCTATTGGGGTTGAGATATAAATGTGACTGGTTCCACATTGGTTTTGTATACCAGTTTGCATAATTGTATAAGGAGAATGTGAAATTAAAAATATCATTTAATAGTCGCCACGGTGGGGCTTGGCAAAAATTTCGGCTCAGCCGGAAGGTAGTCCAAGTCTCTTCACCCCCGGGACCATATACTGGCATAGTATAATCAGGAGCATATCTGGGCTGTGACGGAAGTAAATCACAATGATATTGAAATTCAAAAGGAAAGCAAATCCAACCCATATCAGTACTTTTGGGAGTTTCATGCCAGAGAAAGAGACTACGCACACAAAGGAATTGGCGAAGAGCCTGAGTGCCAGTTAGGTCAGGGGTACGTGTACTTTCATGGGGTGGGTTAAAAGATGGAAAGGGTTGTGGAACAGGGTCAGTAATGACCAATGGAGTGCGCCAGGTTTGAGTACCTAGGCGCATGACTTCCCACCATTGATTGATAGGTAAATAAGAAGAATTAGTAATGAGAAGAGAAAAATTAGTATGAAAGTGCTGGGCATAGGGCCTATCATCAGGTGCCAAGGTAAAAGGACGGAATGAGCCATAAATGGGTAAATTGGGAAAATTTGCTACACATGACACATAGATAGTCTTATTTGGGTAAAAAGCTTGGATCTTCTGGGTCAAACTTTTATCAATGAAATCACAAAATATTCCCCAAGGTGATGGCAAGGTACGGTTGGGCTTTTGAAATTCTGGTTTACATGTGATTGCCTGATTGGCCATACATGTTCTATAGGGAGGTTCCGTAGTAGATTCCGTACGTGCAGTGGGGAGAGTAGGAGGGGAAGAATCAGAAGAATCAGGATAGTCAGAAGAGTCAGAATAAAAAGCAGAAAAATCATAATCATCTGTTGGTGCGGCAGACTTTTCCCATAGGGCAAAAGCTTGAGCTGGCAAGGAATATTTAAGAAATTTTCCACACGTAAAATATGTGTCAGAAGTCATTTGTGTATAAAAGGTAATATTCCTGGTGCCATTGATCTGCAGTCCCACAACATGTGGGCGTGCCGCCAGTTTCTGGGCATAATAAATATACATGGGAGATGACCCCCATACATCTCGGACCAATTCTATAAGATGACATCTCAAAGGATTTTCTTCATTAATATTAGTTTGTAAAAAGCCAATGTCTGATCCATCTGACAAATCAGAAGCATGCCAGACCGGTGAAAAATGAGCATCGGTCCTAGCATCCCAATATGCCGTGCAATTACTTGGGGAAAAACTCCTTGAAAAATGGTTGCAAAAAGCATAATGATTCCAAAAATATAAATTATTAGCGGTAAAATTTGAGAAAATAGATCTACTGAGCCAATAGGTCGGGGAAGTGGCGTCCTTCAAGGAAAGCTCATCGCCACTTACAAAGCAAAAAGGCAATAGGAGAAATTGGAAAATGTGCCACATGGCCCAATATCAATAATTCCAACTACAGCAGTGTAATCGGAGCTGCAACTGCGTGTAGTACAGATAGTATAGTGGGCAACAAGCCACAAAGCCAAAAGAAATAAGACTATTATAACAAGCAATTGAATGGCACGGCAGACTGGCCTAATCATCTTGCAATTAAATCATCAGACTTGGTGAGGCGTAATTCGCCTTTACCTGATGTAGTCCAAAATGAGTGTCCTGGTCCCTGTGCGACGATGTCCGTCGTATATAGGGCCTTATTCTTCCTGTCTCTGCCAATTGCCTTGTCTGGGACGAGTAGAGTGGAGTCTGTAGGGGTTGGATAGGGCAAGGCTAATTTGAGAAATGCTTCTTGAAAAGGTGAGCGGCGCTGCACACGATCCCTATCATTTAACTGAAAACAAGCTAAATTTAGTGCACGTTGTAATTGTTCACCTTCAAACTGGAGCAGTTGGGCCTTAAGAAGGCCATTGAAACGTTCCACAAATCCGGATGCAGTAGGGTTGTAAGCAATGTGGAAATTCCACATAATGTCCCAATCTAAAGCCCATTTCTGTACACTGCTACCGGTGAAATGAGAACCTTGATCTGATTCAATGATGGTAGGTAGGCCATATGCAGAGCACCATCTGATAAGGGCAAATATAGTAGATATCTGATTTGCCTGTCTAGAAGCGGTTGCCATGCCCAACCCTGTACAGACGTCCACTATTACACATGCATATTGGTCCTTAAATGAAGGCAATGGTCCAATATAATCTATTTGAACAGTATGGTTAAACTCTTGTGGCTTGCCCATTGTATTTGGCTTATGGTGTCTAAAACGCTGCTGCCAATTGGGGCATGCTGGGCAAGTCTGAATAGCCTTGCGGCATGCTTGCCATGTGACTTTAATGTTCCGTCGTTGGAACCATCGGAACACTGCATGTGTGCCCATATGACCATTAATTCTGTGAATTTCCAGAATTTCATGTGGAGTAACTGGAGCTTCAGTACCTGGAAGGGTCATTTGCCAATTTGGGTCTCGTTTTAATTTAATGCCTGTCTCTGTAATTGTGCTTCTCCAGGGGGCTGTATTTTGTAATTTAATAGCTATGTTAACTTTAGCTAACCTATCAGCAATGGCATTATTCTCAGCCTCAAAGGTAGTTTTGTTAGTGTGAGCATCTACATGGGTAACAAAGATGGAAATGGGTGCTTGGTCTAAAAATAGCCAAGCATCCTGGCCCCATACAGGTTTGTTGTTAATAGTATAAGAGTTTGCACGCCATTTAGCAGACCAAATGGCTATACCATTGCATACAGCCCATGAGTCTGAGAAAACATGTACATGTTTCTGACCTTCCTTGATGGATTCCTCTACAGCCAATTTTACTGCTTGTAGTTCAGCAATTTGTGCCGACTGTCCGGATCCTTCTCTAGTAAGAATCTTCCTGTCACTGGGCCTGAAAGCTGCTGCTTTCCATGATATTCTGCCATTAGTCACTGAGGAGGAACCATCTGTAAACCAAGCATTAGGGTGGGTTTTACTAGATCCCCATCGGCCAATTGGTTGGCGATCAGGTTCTGTAGTTAACTTGGGTGCTGCGATTACTGGTGTTTGGCTTAACTCTTCTGTTAGAGTAGATACCTTGGTACTGGACTTAACAAAAGTGTCCTGCAATAACTGTTGTAATTGCCATTTCCAGTGGAGTACCTTGTTTTCAATGGGAAGGCCTGACAAAGATTCATCACGCATCCTAACCCAATCTAAAATGGGTGCAGGCGTGCGGATGTGTATACGTTTATTGGAAATAGAAAAACCTATTGATGATAAAGCACTATAGGTTGCCCAAACATATTTCTCAAATAGAGAATATTTGTTTGGTGCATATGGAAATCTTTTGCATCTGAAGCCAATTGGTAAAATTTTCCCTGACCTTTTAATAAACATTCCCCATGATGCATAATCCTTCACAAATAAAATATCTATAACTAATTCTTCATCTGGTTGGGGAATATATAATTGTGCATATAATTTCATATAGCTCAAGGCAGTATGAAAGGCATCTTGTTGTTCTTTACCCCATACAAAATCTTGTGCTTTCCTAGTAACCTTATACATTGGTGCTAGAAGAATTTGTAAATAGGGTATGTGATTTTTCCAATAGCCAAATAAACCAATTATATGTTGGGCTTGTTGTTTAGTTTTGGGCTCTTCAATGTGGGTTAGAATATCCATTACCTTGTCAGGGATGCTGGGCCCTACTGAGGACCATAAGACTCCTAAAAATTTCACCTGTTGACTAGGGCCTTGTATTTTATCTGGATTTATAGTCCATCCTGCCTGTTGTAACAGGGTGACTAGTTGCTTTATTGTAGAATCAACTTCAGATTTGTCCTTGCCACAAACCAACAAATCATCCACGTAAGAGAAGACTCTTACAGATTTTGGGAATGAGTCCCAAGGAATAGTTTGTCGGAGTGTAGCATGGGCAATGATTGGACTATTCCGGTACCCTTGTGGCAACCTAGTGAAACGATATTGGCATGCATCCCAGGTAAAGGTAGTAATTTCTCTTGATTCCTCAGCTAGGGGTATACAAAAGAACATATCGGAGAGGTCAACAGCTGCATACCACTCTGGGGCTAATTGTTTAATACCCGAAAATATGGATTCTACTTCAGGTAAATTTCCTGGCATTTGTGGTGATAATTTATTAATGTTACGATAATCCACTGTAAAACGCCATTTACCATTAGGTTTCTTTACTGGCCAAACTGGACTGTTATAATTAAATGATTGGGTGCGCTCTACCACCCCCTGATCTTCTAACTCCCTTAAAGCCTCAGTAATTTCATCATGTCCTCCCTTAATGGGATATTGTTTAGTAAAGCTAGCTGGAATTCGAGGGAGTACTACTGGATCAATTTTTACTATACTTATTACAGCACAGATTCCCTTTAATTGTTTTAATGGTAGCCATTCCCCTACTATATCCTGCAATAAATCCATGCCTAAAACACAGCATTCAACATTCATTTTCATAATATTTGCCTGCAGGGGTTCCCTATTATATACATATATTACAATTGGAATTTTTTGGGCGGGTATGGGGGCTCCGGATATCCCCCTTACCCAATTTTCTGGCTTGATTTCCTTAACATATACTTCATTATTAACAATAGTTACCTGTGACCCTGTGTCGACCAAGAACCTCGCACGAAATTCCTTCCCTTCACACCTTCCTGCCAGGAGGATGTATGGTCTGTTCTCTCCGGTCTGCCTGGGGGGTAGTGAAATTGCCTCTCTACTGGATTGGTGAAACGGGGTTGTTGTCGCCGTATGTTGTGTTTCCAACCTTGCCCATTCGGAAACTGTCTGTTGGACAGTCCCTGCCTCTGAAATCCTATTCTCATCCCTTGGGAACCTTCTCCGTTCCTTCCGCGTAAAAAACTGCGCGGTGGGGGAGGCCTCCTGGAAAGGGGTCCGGGCTGGCCACTTCCCGGGCCCCTTCCTTCGTTTTTTACCCGAATGTTTTGGAAAGGGGCTCTTACCTGAGATGCCTCTGTTACCTGAAAGCTCGGGAAAGGCTCATACATTTGTGTGGCAAATACTGCCCTAGGATTGTTACTTAAGTCCCGGTACTGTCTAAGGCAATCAGTCACTTCCTGTAAGTCATGCATGCCTGCAATGCTTCCTGCCAAAAACATCCTCATGGATTCTGGTGCTCCTCTTACTATGATATTCCTCATAGCTGGTGTTAATCGTATTCTCAGTGGGTGAAGCTCTGGGTTATCCTCATACATTTTGCACAGTAACCCTATCTTCCTTATCACCCGAATACCTTGTACTGGGTCACTCCACCTGGCTTGGGGTTCTATACTAGCCAAATCTAAATATGGGAAGGCCTGCACCCATGCTCGTGCAATCCATGCAAACAAGGATCTGGTCTCATCTTCATCTAATTCTACTACTGATCTTAAAGCTTCCTGTAAATTTGGATGTTCTACTGTTAAGTTAATCTGCTTCATTTCTTCTGCTGTCAGTTTTAAACCTGTGGCTCCCTTAGTCCATAGTGCATCTAAATAATCTACATCAGAATGCTGTTTCTGAGAGAAATCTCCACGAATCTGAGAGATCTCAGCCCTAGTTAACTCTCGGGTTTCCACTACCCTTTCCCCAGCCTCTGCGCGTCCGCGTTGGCTTACTGGGGTTGACAATTTGGTAATTGTCACTGGCATTGCCTTACTAGTTTCCTCCAACTGTTCCTCATACACCTTAGCTAGGAATGGGTTACCTGATTTTAACAATGCTTCCTTAACTAACCTTTTTCCTCGCTGTCTGTCTTCCTCTATGTCATTAATAACCTTGCATAAGATGCCGGGAACTTCCTTCTTTCCTGCTCTTGCTAGGATCGGCTCTACTATATCTGGGTTGCTCAGCTGGACCCCCACAGCTGTGCCCTTTGGATAATTAGGGAACTTTGCCTGAACTACACGTTCACAACTGCGCCATAAGGCTTGGGGTCTAAGTTCCTTATTCTCATTTTCTTCATTTCTCTTCCGGAAATTCAATTTCTTAATTCTCTCTATTATTTTTGGGCCCATATTGATAATCTAACTAACAATTGTACCTTAATTAAATTAAATTCCCACTGAACAAAATTACAACTGCCGGCAGTTTTAATTAAATCACCGATCCCTTCTTCAAATTTCACTTCCAAATATCTTTCTATCCTCCTTCTGACCCATCCCATTTGGGGCACTCACCAATCCGGGTGTTCGTCCTCCTCGATCCTCCAAGCTGGGGTTGGAGCTGGAATTGTGTCCTCCGAGGATCCTGCCGACTACGCCAACTGTCGCGAACACCGAGCCCGGTCACCAGAACAAATGCCAAGAGTCGAGAGTGGATGCTTTGCAATCAAGCATTCAAGCATTTATTCAGGCAAGCACACACCAAACAGGATGGGGGAAGCCACCGAGAGTGCCTCTTGACTTCAGTCTCATGGAAGTCTGCTGGGCCTTTGGCTCCGGCCTCGTGGGAGCCTGCAAGTTCGAGTGGAAGCCCAAACCTTGGCTCCGGTCTCGTGGGAGCCTACTGGCTTCTCTGGCTCCGGCCTCGTGGGAGCCTGCAAGTTCGAGTGGAAGCCCAGGGGCTTTTGGCTCCGGTCTAGTGGGAGCCTGCTGGCTTCAGTGACTGGGACAAATGCATGGGTTTATATACAAATTCAGGGGCAAAACAGGCAGTTGTTTACAATATTTTGATTGGTTATTACATATTATCTATCAATAACACTTGCTTTTCTTAATTCTAAAAAACATGCATATTCATTCTCAAAACATACTTATTCATTAATATACAATTATTTCTTCTTTTATCATTCCTACCATGACATGCTTACGTACATTGTGGCTTCTTGACAAAGGTGATAAGGGGAGGGCTTGTGCGCCTAGGAGTCTCTTGACAGGAGCGATAAGAGAGGAGGCCCCATTTCACCAGTAGTTTAGGAGGATGGAGTCACCTTTGTTAAAAGACTCTAACATACACACTATATCCATTATTAAGTCACAGCATAACTTACAAAAGAAATCTATTATTGCAGCTATTTCTGGATCATCAATTTCTGATAAAACTATAACAATATTGAGGATACAATTAAGATTATTAATAATATTCCAACCCATATTTCCCAAAGCTCCATTTTTATTTATGGTCATGTTTTGCTGGAGCAATGTAAATGTAAAGTACTTATAGTCAGACTGTTCCTATCAGATGGTCTGTCTAGAACTCGAGTCTCCATCTACCAAACTTCGATGCCTGCCTGTCTGCCTCCCTGTACTGGCCAGAGAGCAGAAGCTCAGAGGCAGGTTAAATGCTGGTGGAGGTTCTGCAGCACTGCCTGGGGCATATTAAAGGCAAGCATGAGAGCTGTTGACCTGCTAAGCAGGGCCTGGCAATCTGTGCAGTAATGAGGCATATGGTGGTTCTGGCATGAGCCAAAGTTCGACAACCCCCAGACTAGAGCAATGCTTTATGGGTGAGAGGACTGGAGTTCTAGCTGAGCTCCATGTTGGTGAAGTAACCCAAGTGAAGAGCTAGGATCTGAATTCCAGTCTGTTTGGCTCCAATGCTGTCTTTTCTACAATGGGTGGCTGTCTCATCTATAATCTGTCTTCTGCATTCTGTTCTTGCAAGATTCCTCTCTTAGAGGAGAGCAGGCCACTAAAAAGAACATGTCCCCAGGACTTGTGGCCTAGTGGTTAAGACACGGCTGGCTAGGCCCATAGCCCATTACACGTGCCTGGGTTTGAGTCCCAGGTCTGCTCTTAATTCCAGCTTCCTCTTAATGCAAACTCCAGGAGGCAGCAGGTACAGCAGGTGATGGCCCACGTACCTGTGTCCTTGCCACTCAACATGGAAAACTTGGATTGGGTTCCTGGCTCCCAGCTTTGGCCCCTTGGCCTTTGCAGACATTTTGAGAATAAATTACTTTATTTTCTCTTTCATTGTCTCTCCCTTATTCTCTCTCTTTCTTTTTCTCTCTCTCTCTCTGTCCTACCTCTCAAAGAAAATCTAAATATATATAGTCTGTAGATGAGCTTTTCAGGAGCAAGACACAAATGCTTCCAGTACATTTCTGGCCCCACTCCAGATGAGGTGAACCCAGAGGATGACCCTCAACAGTGGTTACTCCAATGCTCTGAGAAGACCCAAAAACCTAAGAATACAGCCCGGATTCTAGAATGGCTGCCCCCAGGAAGCATATGTCATCCAGATTTTGGCTCTGGGAAATGTGGGCAGGTGTCCCTGGTCATGCCTGGTCTTGTACTGCCCCTGGATGTTGTGACGAGAGGGCGCCCTCCTGAAGCTGGGAGGTGATACAGAAGGGGTCCCAGGAACTACCTTGCTGACAGAGACTCACAACCTGTGGTGGGGGTCCTCTCAGCTGTGGGGGCTCAGGCGAAGCTGTCCACTTAACCCTCGTGAATTTTGCCTTTGTTTATTTTTCTTCTTGAAGCATGAGCCCAACCCAAGGGCTGGTCCACAGTGGAGGGGGCTTGCAAGGAACACTGAGTGGGTCCCTACCAGCAAGGCAGCCAATGAGCTTCCTTCCCATGGCTCGGGAGAGCTCCTTAGTGGAACAGCATCCAGGTGAACCATGTCTCCTTACGGTTGGGACCGAGGATGCCCATCAGTCCCATTCTATAGATTTGGAAATCAGGTTCCTGGAGGCCCAGACGCTGTCAAGGTAACTACAGGTGAGATTTGAATCCAGATCTGATTGCAAATTTTCCACTTTTTACCCCTGCAGGACAGAAGCTGATAACTGGCACAGGTAGAAGGGACTTGTGTGTATCTCTTCCAGCTGCTCTTATTAGCCCCATAGGGTTTAGTGACAAATAGAAGCCAGGACTGAGGTACTGACCCACGTGTGCACCAGCTGTAGCTGTGACCCAGAGGCGATCTCCAACCAGAGGATGTGGGACTTAGGAGGGGCCAGGGTAGGCCACTGTTTGGGCTAGAAATACTGCTGGTTCATATATCTAACCTCCAGGTCCATAATTGGCTGGAACAAGGCACCTAGATTCCGTGTTGGGAAATTCAGTGTGGGTGCCTCAGGTCTGTTTTCCAGTGCCTTGGAGGGAGCGTGGACCAACACCAAATCCTAGTGCACTTTGTAAATTTCCGCATGGTTATCAGAAATGCCCTTGACCTGGTCTCTGTGTACCAACTTTGCTATTGCACAGCAGTTTCTGTGGCCAGGAGCCACCTGGGCTGGGGAGCTGAAGGTGCTGCTTAAAGCCGACCTGGTCCAGTACCAACAGAGGGACTCGGCAGCATCATCTTATCTCCTGGTCTCACTGCCCCCCACTGCCCCCCACTGCCTCCCACTGCCCCCCACTGCCCCCCACTGCCCCCCACTGCCCCCCACTGCCTCCCACTGCCCTCAACCTTCCCTTCACCTCTCTGGTTTGCAGCTCACAGGTTCTCTCCTTTTCCATGCCAGGGGACTTTCTGCAGAGAGGAATTTGCAGTTGCCTGTGGTCAGCCAGTCTAGCTCGACTGGGGTAGAAGGCAGAGTTGTATGTCTGCTGTGTATACTAGGTCTGAAGCCCAAAGAATCACACCTGCCTGGAATTCCAAACATCCTCAGCAGGAAGGAGTGGCCTGGAGGCCAGTGTGTGTATATGTGTGTGTGTGGGGGGGTGCTTCCTGCCCCCCAATATCTCCCTCTAAGTTCTGTGCTCACCAGGGACCCCCAAACCTACCTATATCCTGTGTTGCCACCCTTCTCCTCCCCTATCCATCTCCATCTACTTTTTGCAGATGGAGCATGGTTTCCCAGCATCTCTCTGGCTAACAGATCAGATCCATCTGAGTTACTCAGAGCCTCCCTCTGAGTATGGGTGGTGGAGGATTCATGCCAAATCCACTACTGCTACTAGCAAGACTATTATGGTGGCTTTTAGAATTAAATTTCATTTTTTACCAGAAGCCCCAAAGGTCTTTAGCAACAAATACAAGAAAGATGCTTCAATCCACACACAAAAAAATTGAAACAGGAAAAAAAGCCACACACCCAACATCAGTTCTATTCCTTTACCACCTCACACTGTCTTGCATTGTGGCAAAAATTCATACACTTCGGTGGGAGAGTGGTGTGGAAGAGGGAAACTGCAGGCTTCCGCATTGCCTCAGGCTCCTCTCACTTTCTCCACCTTTTCTTCTCTGCCCTTGCAGCTCAAAGACTTTGGAACCTCATTTAGATGCGTCTAGTAAACTTGCAACAATAGATCAAGTTCAATGTGATCTAACAGGTGCCCTCTGAGCCCTGCTTATGGAGGAGCTTTGGACAGACAACACAGATGTCTTCCAGGACAGCCAGCTAACAAGGCCAGTGGTGGGGGTGGCTGCACACAGGTGATGAGGAGCAATGCAGAGAGCAGCTCTCCACCTACCTGGCCTGCGGTGCTGCACAGTGCCAGGGTGGGCGTGGCCAGGACGCGCCAAGAACCCAAGCACCTTGACTAATGTACAGGAAGCAGAATTCATCTTGGAGCAGACAACACAGCCTCCAGTTCTGCCTGCCCCTTTATCGCAGGGTTGGGTGGGAGTGCAGGTGGATTCCTGCCACTTGCACAAGCTTTTGTAGATGTGATCTGGCTTAAGCTCGCCTTTACACGGGGACTGGGACCCTTAATCAGGTCTAGGGACTCCCTGCAACTCTGGGAAGGAACTTCAGCTCCTTGAAGGAAGCAATCAAGGCCTCCTACAGTGACAACACATCCTGTCTGCTCTGTCAACCTGCTCACTCAACTCTGTCACCTGCATCTTTCCCGTGACTGGGGCCTTCATCCTACTCTCCCTGCTCTCTTTGCCAAGTCTGCTCACCATTCAAGCCCTGGGCCCAGACAGCACCTTACTGGCTTCATTTCTTTGACCCTGACCATCAGAATCTGTAGTTACTCCAACTGCCGCCCCCAAAGCCCCTTGCTTGTGCCTGCGTCCAACAGCTGTGCAGGTAAGAAACACAGACTTTGGGAATGAGCCTGCCTCACTCTCTCATCTGCCACATAACTTTGGGATGTCACTAATCTCCATTTTCTTGTGCTACAGAAAGCAAAAACCATGACACCTCCTTTACCTGTTGGGGTTGTACAGGCTGACTGAGGGTCACCATCTGTGAAGTCCTTGGGGGAGGCAAAGTGTGGGTGAGCGGAGTGTGGGTGTTCCCTTTGCTGCTTTTGAGGTCTCCTCAACCTGCCCTTTTTTCCCCGTGAGATGGCAAGCTCTGGGTCAAGGCCTGTGCCAGCTGCTCCTTGACACATTCACCATCCCGGTCATCGTGTGTACACTGGGCATTTCATACAACTTTAAAATGTGTAAGTGCTTGGCGCCTCGGGTCCTCAATTTCCCCATCTGGATGCAAGCGGCAAACAGTGGCACCAAAGACCCT